AAAAAGAAGTATTAAAATTATGATGCAACAAAATTAAAAGAATCAAAAAAAAAAATAAAAATCCGCTCCAAGAAAAATCTGAAACCCATACAAAACCAAAAATAAATAAAGACAAAAAAACTTGAAAAAAAACAAAAGTCCTCTAATTACAAGTTCGATATTTTAATTTAAATCAAAATAGCATCAGCACTAAAAAAAAGACAAAACACTAATACAAAACAAAACATAAGCAAAATAATCATAATAATAATACGTTTTCCTCTTCTATTTTTTTCCTTTCTCGCATAATGCTAACCAGTTTCATCGAGGAAGAAAGTATGTTTCTCATATCATTTTTTTCTCTCTTTTTGATCGTTTATTTTCTTTTCTTCGTTTTCGACTTTGTATCTTTTTTGCTCTCTTCCCCTTTAATACCCTCCAAATCTTTCATCATTTCGATGATTTGTTTCATCAGTCTGAATCCTCCCAATACCAATCTTTCTGTAACATTATCGTTCTTAAATTTCAGAATATATGTTGGGCTAAATTCATTGAATTAACTTCTACTTATTGTAGTATCAACTGATTAATTTTGCTATTTTAGCTAATAAGCAAATGGATCAACATTTTTAGCTTTCAGATGATAATCTTGAAAGTAAAAAGAAGAAGAAAAGACCTATTTTCTGCAGCTATGAATGAATGAATGAATAAATCGAATCGATTTATTAATTTGCTATAATTAATTCTGACCTAATTCAGCCACTTCACTTTGGTCTTATCTGTCACAAGCAGTCATGTCGTTCTTGCTATATCTACCATAGATTAATCTAGGTAGTATAAGACAACTTACTCAAAACTTCTCACTTTCTTTATCAATTTTGTTATTGAGTAAATTAAACCACTCGAGATTTGCTAATCTGATATGAGCTAAAGCTTGTATGTCTTCATTGCTAATACATTTATCTGATGAATTGAAATCAATGAGCTTTATAAGTCCTCCGTGATGATCTTAATGAATTCGCTGACAACTAACCATCCACCGCAATGTACTATGAAATACTTCACCAAATATTTTCTACCACTTTTATTTTCATTCTGCATAATTTCTAAATCTATTTTTCAATTTTGAATATTTGAAATAACTTTTTAGTTTTCAAATTACTTATCTCAAAATTTTCTCCCATTTATTGTCATGCAGTAAGTGATAAAAATTTCATAGAAATGATAAAAATTTAAGTGGCTCTCATTTCCAATTCTACTAACTAACCAATCACTTAATGCAATATTGAAGTTATGAAATGTTTTACAAAATATTTCTGATTACTTTTAAAATTTAATTTTCATTTCGTGTAGCTTACAATTTTATAAGCAGCAGTTTTAGTATTGTCGGTTACTGATTATCAGTACTAATATGCTTAATATTCGAGGACGTACTTTGTTCGTAATAGTTTTCATCAATGGTCTGATATTAACACAGCAGCTTTGTAACTTCTCAGCTCTAACGAAGAACTGTATCAGCAATTTGTGATATGTGATGATTGAATAATCCAGAAATTCTTCGAATTCATAACTTTTTTTGACAAATTTAGATTTAAATTTCAATATAATTCATATTGAATTCAATTAGTAAAAGTGCAGTAAACAAGGCAGTTTATTAGAGCAGTCTATAATCAGATTTAAATTTTATTTTAAGTTACCTAGAAAAAATATATGCTTATTCTTTGCTTAAAAGTTACTCTTAATGATATAAAGGAAAATTGAAATGATATTAATTCATCTACCGAGAAAATCTAGCAAGCAAGACTGAACTATGTACCTAATACTTATTATATCTGAAAGTTGAAATAATTTAAGTTAATTTAAATTCACTCTTCAACCTATTCAATTTCCAGTATCCCATCATAGCAAGGAAAGGAAATTAATTGTATGCTCATAATCGTTTCAAACACCTGCTCATTCCACTGATATTTTACCATAGAAAAAAGAGAAAATCTTTTCATTTTTTTCTGAAAATTCAATTATATCTTGGAATTTTTTCCATCTAATCATTTTATTTGCTATTCATTTTTATTACATTGAACTTTTGCTAATAAAAAAATTTGAATTGAAAATGCGAGAACAAAAAAAGAAAAAATGAATAAACATTAGACGCTGGGAAAAAAATTGGTTAGCAACCATTTATTGCTATGAAATAAATATTTAGCACAAAATAAGGAAGGGAAGGTAAAAGAAAGTAAGTTAAAGTATTTGATAGGTTATGAAGTTGGCTTTTTTCATGAAAAGTAAAAAATGTGTGAGTTGTGAAATATGATTAGAAGGAAAGATTTTAATTAGGTTTCCCAAAAATTCACCTTTTAGATAGTAGAAATTTTTCACATTCAGAAGCAAAAATACTTTTTGGGATATATAAAATATCTTTTTGTAAAATGTTAATCGATCTAATATTATCATTATTATTTGCGCTAACTGGATAGATTCTCATACAAATATTTTCATGTAAAAAATTATTAGTTTTGATGTAACTTAAGAAAAAATGAAAAACTAGATATTATAGACTTTTCGATAGATTAACAATTAAATAATTCGAGTTATTCATAAGATATCTTTTTTATTGCTTTTGCAAAATAATAATATTAAATTCAGTCTTTTATAATAAAAATTTAATTTATTGGAAAAGTTCAGTAAATGGGTAACCGTGAATCGTCCACGAAGGAAGAGGACGGGAAGCCGAAAGAGAACGACCAGCCACGTCTCTATCAATACGTTGACATTCATGGCGGCGGTGATTTGATACCGTTCATGTGGCAAGCTAAAAATAGCAACGATTTCTCACAAATTAATGATTTAATTGATTCGAAGGTTCGATTTGATTTTAGTTATCATTTTGCAAAAATTTAGGCATTTATTTTAAATTTTTTTAAAAACAAAATTTCATGAAGGTGAAATAAATAATAAAATGAAATTTCTCGAATAAAAATCTGAAATGCAACAAATTATGATCAGTAAAATTTACTATAATCATTTTAATTAATCTTAATACTGAAATTATTTTTGAAGCAGAAGAGAAATAAGGGAAAATGATACAAACAACATTAATGAAAATTGATTAACTATGGAGTAAAATTATATGGACAAGGTGTTTCAGCAACTGTTGATTTTTTATTTAATTTTAAAAAACGTTGAATCTAAAATACTCTGCTCAGTAAATATTTGAAATTTAGAACTGTAAAAAAGATTAAGATTTCCTTAAACAAATGATTTATAAAAAATTAATTAATGCAGGTTTAATTTAATTTTAGATTAAAAATTTCATGTATAATTCGGGTAAAGGCAAAATGGTGGCAGTTTCTGAATTGGTCAAAATTCGCAATAAAGAGCGCAATGCAATGTTAAGTGCATTGAAACGTAAAAAAGGGAAGGGTAAAAGTGGTCCAAACATTTTGGATGATTTCAATCAGGAAGGAGAAAATCAAGGCGATTTAAAAAAAGGTTACTTTATGTCAAAAAATAATGGAAATAGTAGTAATAACAATAACAATAAATTATTGGTGAAAGATATAAAATTATAGAATATAAATATAATAAGTGTATGTAAATATCTCGAAAAGTCGAAAATTATACGCATAGGAAATGAATGAAAGTGAGAAGTAATATTTGAATAGTTATTATTTATTTCCATAATTGTTGTCACAGTTACCATTTGTTATTTTGTAGCATTAAAACTTCTGGAAGGTGGGGGACGACGTGGTGACATGGATTCGAAGTATCGTGAAGTGGTATGGAAATTAGAGGAACGCGGTAATATGGGCGAGAATCTTGTCGGTCTATGCTTATTGCAAGGAACCGCAACACACAATCATTTAGCCCGTCATTTAATCAAATTGTATCCAAAACTTGTCAACGATATTTTCATCAGTGAAAATTACTATGGTATGATTGCATGGAATAGTAAAATTATCTATTAATTTCGATTTTTTACCTTATTATTAACTGAAGAAATAGCTATTTATTGAAACATATAAAGTTAGAAACCTAATGATTAAATAATAAAATTCCATAATACCTGATATAACAATAGAATATACAGGATTGTCACCGTTGCATCAAGCCATAATGAACGAAGATCCATCAATGGTCAGTTTTCTTCTACAACAAGGCGCAAATGTCAATCAACGCTGTTACGGTGCATCATTCTGTCCCGACGATCAGAAAAGCAGTCGGACTGATTCGTTGGAGCACGAATATGTTGAACTCAGTCTGAAAACATGCTATTCTGGGTTAGCCAATGCTATTTCAAGAAATGTTGAATACTTTTCTCTAAAGATATGTACATTATCGTCATCCCATAATTATTTATGAATGATATGGTGATTAAGCGTTCCCTAAAAAAATTATGCCAGCAAATTGTTTAAAAAGCTGGAATTCTGAATATAATTTATGAGATAGTTAAATTATCACTTATGCACTACCTGTAATAAAATTGCAGAAACACACGAAATAAAACGACAAAATAGTCTTTTGTAATTTTATAAATTAAAATATAATTCTCAATAATAGGTGCAAATGTGCAAATAATAAAAGCTTTATTCTGTTTTAAAAAGTTCCAAGAATTGTTTTCGGATAACATTTTCAAATACATTCGTCAAAATTTCACACTTACCCGCATTCAGCCACTTGTTTGCGCTAATTTCAGTTGTAGGAAGATTTAATTACTGAAAATTTTAGAATTTTTTATAAATCCTAATATTCTATTAAATTTAAAGTTAAGAAGCTTGCTTTGAATATTTACTGTCAACGAAGATATTGAAAAAGCTAAAACATTTATATCAATTGAAGCGCAGAATTTACATATTTAGAAAGATGTATTTCGGCGAATATCCATTATCATTTGCTGCTTGCATTAATCAAATAGACTGTTTTCGGTTATTGGTTGCAAAAAAGGCTGACCTGAACCAGAAGGATACAAATGGAAATACGGTTCTCCATCTTGCTGTAATTCATGAACATCCGGTAAATGATCTATGTGGTTTTATGAAAATTATGATTTAAATTTAATGAAATAATGTGAAATAATTTTAAATTCCTAGGTGTCACGTTTGTAAATGATACATCCTTTTTATTTATTATAAAATTTTTTCCCAAGTTTTTCCGTAATTTTTTGTTTTCAAAATTTGGAATAAAAATTTTAATTTATAATTTTTTGCCTTAATTTTTTTATTCATTAATTTTGTAAAAGAAAATTAATAGAATTTCTCATCAGGAAATGATCAAACTGTCTTACGATATGGGTGCTAAGCTACAAATTGTTAACAAGCAGAATTTAACTCCGCTCACTTTGGCGGCGCATTTGGGAAAAAAAGAAGTATTAATATGATTAAGAAATGATAATTTCGTAAAAAATATGGATGTGATTAAGAAGTGATAATTCCGAAAAAACTTTAACTTATAACTTCTTCATTCAATATTTTGTTCATTACGCACACTTAATTGCTCAACTTTTAGCTAAATCATTTTTTAAATTAAATCATTTTACAACTTATTTATTTCACATTTGTTTTTACAAATTCCTTTTCTTTACTTGATCAAATTTAGATCTTCGAATTAATCCTAAAATTAGAAGCCGATGTTGTTTGGATATACGGTAATGCGTGCAGTTACGCATATCCGTTAGCTCGTATTGATACGATAAGTCAAGAAACGGGAGAAATGAATGAAGATAGCGCCTTATCACTTACTGTTTACGGAGTAAACATCTTATTTGCATTTGTTCGTATAGCTATTATAGCAATTTTGTGATGTAAGCATTGCATTGTTAAGTCATATACACCGCGGTATCGCGGATAAGATTCCTAACCGCATATAGTATTACAGTAAATGTTCATAGTATACAATATGAAGGAAACATTTTGCCCAAGATAAATTTTTATTTTTTTGCTTGTTTACTATTAGTGTTTGCTTATCGATTGATCAATTTGATTACGTCGCATTATCAACTTTCGTTTTTTTAAAAAACAAAAGTTTTTCAAATAATAAACATTGCAGTTTATGCGATATTCGTTTCCTTCCTTCCTTGATTAAAATTTAATTTAATTTAAATTTTAGGAAACAACGAAACATTTAGAGCTTCTCGATGGATTGTTGGAAGAATTACTGGAAGCTAAATGGGAATCATTTGGACGTCGATAGTAAGAGCAATTTTGTAAAAAAAAAGAAAAGCGAAAGAGTTCTCAAGTTTGAGATTTCATAATATAAGAAAAAGCAAATTAAAACATACCAAACGATTTTTTTTTCTCCAGCTGAAGAATTATCTCCGGTCAAATAATGCTAACATAGCAAAATCTTGTTTTTCTCAAAATTTAAAATTTTAGAATAAATAATAATTTGACAAAATTTTTTTTTTACAACCCGTAGCAGAAATTTAATGACTACGGTAATTAACAACTGAGTTAATGATTGGTTATCATAAATAACTAAAAATTATTGTTATAGTTTGACATTATCATTTTCGTGTTTTGTGGTTTATTTCATATTTGTTTTCATGGCTTTCATGTGTCGGCCATTTTCGATGACAACAAAGGTTGAATTTAAAATGCTTAATTAATATAATAATAAATATTTACTGATAATTTCCTTCATTTAAAATATTAAGATAAACAATAAATACGTAAAAACCTTTATCACTTTCTTTATCGCTCATCAAAGGTGCTCTATCACGGTGAAGAAATTTACGGTGTCAATACATCCATCCCATGCAACACCACTTCATTTGATAATCCATGTTCTAATTCAACTTATACCATAATTGATTATATGCTTCTCAAAGCCACAACACTGCAATCATTTTCATCCTATGCTGCAAAGAAGCAAGTTTCATGGACATTAAAAAATTTCGGTTTGCTTTATTATTTTCTGTATAAAATTTATATTTTATAGTTTTTTTGAATATATTTTAAATTTTTCATTTTAAATCTTTTCATTTCACCAATATTTCATTCAATTTCTTCGTCTGTTGTCAAATATTCGCATGCAATTTTACTGATTATGCAATTATTTTTATCGATTGCAGTAAGAATAAAGCAATTTTATTTTTCACTGCTGTCTGTTATTTGAAAAAAAAAACAAAATTTTACTTGACTAATTTAAATGATAAAAAAATAAATTGTCCTGAAACTTAACTTAAGAATAAAATATTATTTTTTAGTCTTGTCTTCTAAGAATGAAGAATTTTTGAAATCATTGACAGATAGAGTATATAAAAATTGGAAATAGGCAGCTTATGGAATGCTTAGACAATATTGCTAAATTAGTATAATATAGTCAATTACTTTAAATATTAATCACTTCAGTAATTTATATTAATGATTTTTCAAATAATTTTGGACACTGAATTTTTTTCACAGAAGAAGCTTGGTATCATTCCGACCTCTGCCATCTGTGGCGATATACTGACGCAGGGTGGCAGCAGTATGTAAGTTTGTAAAATGAATCACAAAAGATATTACAGTTTTTCCTTAATTAATATCCAATTATCAATTCGTGTCGGCATCCTTTCACTTTAAACAACCTTTAAAAGAATCTGCTGAAGTCATAATTTTGACATTGCCAACTGTGAGTAACATTCCTAAATTAGAATCTTCCAATGTTACTGCAATAATTATATTAATATTGAAATATAACACCAAAAGAGACATCAATACGGTACTAAATTAATGGAAATATATATCTAAAATGAATGAGATCTGAAAAATATATGCTACTTACTTCTGGAAACAGCTTATTCTGTTTAAATAATTGATATTCAATATTTTATGAATCAGATTTGCAAAATTAAAATGAAATGAAATAGGTTCGACTGGTTGCTGAACAAATGGTAGTATTAATGGCATTGCTTCAAATCGTTCGTGATGTCATGGACATGAAAAATGTTGGTCGAAGACGATGGTGGCGTGTTATGGTATTTCATTTCATTTCTTTATGCAAATTTTACAAGCACTTAAGTTTTTCTTTTTATAAAATAAAGTAATTTGTAGCAGCCAAATGAATTCATTCTTAGTATTTATTGCAAAGTTTCTAAAAATTTATATTTTTCCACTTTGAATAATTTTTAAATAAAATAGATTGCATTGCAGAAATCATTTCCGGCTAAAGTTGCTTACAAAATTTCATTTATTCTTATTATATTAATCGTACCGATACGATTGGGATGTGTACTGTGCTCAGCGATGCTTCTATTCGAAAACATTCTCTCTTTGATGATCGTTCTATTAACTGGTGCACATTTCTTGTTTTATACAAGGTTTTTTTTTTTGTTAAAATTTAAATCAATAACTTTAGTTGAGCTTATTTGTTTGTAAAATTTGCTTCGACTAAAAATTATTTCTTTTATGGGCAAAATTTTCGAGAATATAACAATTATTGTTTCACATTTTAGAGCTTTAAAATTTATTGGACCATTTGTTTTGATGATTTATACTATACTTTCACGTGATATAAGCCGTTTTATGCTTATCTATTCAATATTTCTCATCGGATTCTCGCAATGTTTGTTAATTTCCAATTAAATTTTTCATTATTTAAAACTCATGGATATTTTTCAAAATTTTCTTTATCAAATACTCTAATCTCTGTTTTATCATTTTGTTAAAGAACTTTTAATTAAAAGGCAACGAAAGAAATTTTAAATTATCAATTGTTTTTTTTTGTTATAAAATAAATCCAATCTCTGGAACATAAGCTTAAAATATTCTAAACATAAAATGCCATAAACCTAAAATCACATAAAAACTGAGAGTTTAAATATATTGAAATCTTATCATTTATGACTTACCTTTCTGCCACTGCTTTCCATTTCTTTTATGAACATTTATTTATTTTTAAGTGTTTAGTTACTACTCGAACTTTTTTGACCTTTATTGTTTCTACCGAAATCTCCAAGCAAATTAATGTTTTATTTAAATTCAAGAATGTTTCACCTTTAAAAATAATGATTTATCTTAACTTACCATTTTATTAAGCAAATTTTGTTTTTTTTTTTGAAAATAATTATTGATGCTTATTATTGCATTTATTTCATTGGTGCATTCAAACTGATTTCAAAATTTTCTAACTTTTCTTTTTTTAAGCATTTTATGTAATTTTTGGAGCTTGCGAACGAGAAAGCAAGACGAAATACGGTATTCAATCCACTCATTGGGAAAATATTTTGGAAACTCCGTTTGAAGCTATCATGCGATTGTTTATTATGACCATTGGCGAATTTACCATTTTCTATCGGTCACTGAATACATGCGAGGAAAGAATGATGCGAATGATTGGTAAGGTAAGCATTTGTAAATTTGAATTCTTTGAAAACTTAATCAAAAACGAGGTGTGAAATGCAAAATGGCACTTGAATTCATGATCAGTAATCACTTTTTTCGCTTCAAAAAAATAAGAAAATAGTGAAATTATTTAAAATAAATGCGTTTGTGTGTGTGTGTGTGTGTGTGTGTGTGTGTGTG